GGACGTTTTATCTCTGACTACAAGCATTTGAGGAGCACACACTTATGGTGTTTCGGGAATTACTCGAAATACCCGAAAACTCTGATCCCCAAGGTTTGTTTTCCCATTCTGCCTTCGAACTTTTAACACAGTAAGAGCGCTTTTTCACTTAATTCGATCAAATGATCAGTCTGGTCGGATACGAATATTCGAGTCACGAACTTTTTATGCCTCATTTAGTATAACTTCCCTTTATTTGTTACTTCCAGGTAACACCTTTAGGATTCTCTTCGGCTGGGTCTTGCTTTCAACGCCTCCACAGTCTTATTATCTTATTAAAGTGTATTATCAAAGCCTCTCTTAAGTTTCTGAAAACAAAGTCGGCCAACTTCGGATTGTGTGAATGATGTTTGGCAGGCTTATTTTTTAGCTCCCTCATATTCAAGATCAATGGGAAAGGATTTGACTTGTTTGAAAGCCGTGTTTACGACTTTCGTAGACACCTAAGACGAGGGAAGGACGTGCCAGGGCATCTGAGGGCCTAACTACCGAGAGTTTTCCTTTGATGGTCATTTTTAATGACTTTTGAACCAGCCTGTTTACTTACGTTATACAATTTGTCTTGTAATTTTCACTCCGCACATCGTACAGTCGCGTTTAACTCACCAGCAGTGTTTGGAGTAAGTGCACTTTCGACAGGTGGTAATATTTTATCTTGACAGCTTGTGATTTGTCACAATTACGCGTAACAAGAGTTCCGACGAAGGCATTCCTCGCTTTGAGACTGTTGATAATGGGAGTCCCAACCCTTCTATAAGGGATAAGAGCCAAGCTGACTACTATCGATTACACTCTTGATTTTCTCCTTGTCTGAAGCCAGACTTATTGCGGAGTCATTTTCACTTGACAATTTCCTCATCAGAGTGAAAAGCTCTAGAACTTTTCCTAGAAGGATCACCTTAGGCAACAATCTTTACATAGCTTGAGTGAGGTCTGTTTGTAGCAACGTTTATACGCAGTCGGCGACATATTGACACATTCTATGAAATCATCTTTTACAGGAAAAAGGCACAATAACCATCAGAGTCGATGATTTTGAACGACTACCTCAACTAGTATGTGGATAAAACAAGAAAAAGTTCAAGAGAGCTACAAAAAAGTGCGACGGTAGTCTCATCTAGCAATGGTTGAAACAAAACCTTAGAAAGATTAATGAGCCCAATAATAGGAAAATAGTACATATGAATACACATGCGTTGGTTGACAAACAAAAGGATTCAATTAGTGTAAACTGATATAGAGAGGTGTGAAGAAAGTAATTTACAATTATGGATAGTGCCAAAAGCGTTAAAATGAGTTTCAATTTAGCTTTAGACACGATAAAAGCTGCAGAAATCTAGTATCTTAAAACATTGAAAAACATTTCATCTTCAGAACACGATGATTAACGATGAAAGGAGCAAAAAAATAAGAGGTGTTTGTACTAAAAATTTTTAATGGTTAGGTCTAATTATTGGGGTATAATAAACAATCCCCAGAACATGTATATAAAAAAACACCTACGTAATCACTGGGATGACACCTGGAATTCCTAAAGTCGCTCGCAAGACAGAGACAATCGCAAACTGAAAAAGACAAACAAAACTCTGGTTCTCTCTTTTAAAACCGTGCTTGTGTTAGTAAAATGGATCTTTACCAATATTTTAATTTTATGTATTTTGTAGATGCTTCATTTACTCTAGTGAGCCTAATGAATGCACCAAAATGCGATTCCATGTTACTGCAAGAGATCCCTATCAGATCCAGATTTGTGTAGTAAGGACCGAAGGCCTATGTTATTCGTTTTCTGGTATTCTTCTGTGAGTGTCTAGTCTTCTCTTGTTTGAGTCAGTTGAATGTGCGGACACCAGTGCTTCGGGTAACAGGTTCCAAGAATTGATGGATCGGTGTTAGAACCTGTACGCCATAGGTATTTTGTTCGTTCTTGACTTTTCTACTCGCCTGCTATGTCCTCTGGGATATCACGATCTAATGGGAAGCAAAAGAGAGGACATGTCAAGTCCAAAATCATTTCTTAGTATTCTATACATCAAAATCGGATCACACCCTAATCTGCGATAGGACAAAGCAAAGAGGTCTAGCTTCGCAAGCCGCTCTTTGTATGGTAAACCCCGGAGTTCTAAAATTTCACGGGTAGCTGCTCTCCATGTTTTTTTTCAAGATATCCGAGTCATCTTCTAAACAGGGGCTTGAATCCTGAACGCAGTTCTCAAGCTTAGTTCTCACTAAAGTTGTATTTAATGTAGTGAACATGGTAGTATCTAACTTGGTTAATGTCCGTCTTAAAACCCATAGTTTCCTTAACCCCTTAGCTAAGACCTCCCGGCAATGGGCCGTGGTCTTAAGATCATGACTCACTGTCACCCCAAGATCCTTATGAGACCGGACCACGAGTATAGGCACTTCCTCTATGCTGTACCTACTTGGTCTAATTAGACCAGTTAATCACAATATTTAAGTCTGCCCGAAGTACACATGAATCTGCGTCTCCTGTTATTTCTCCCCAGATTTTTACATCGTTAGCGTACAATAACATTGAGGACTCAACCATACCTGAGAGATCACTTACATACAATATAAAAAGTAAAAGATCTAGGACAAAACCTCCAGGTACTCTGCTAATTACTGGCCTTCAGGTGCAGCACTTCGAATTTACTCTTACTTTCTCTCTACGCACACTATGATCCTGATGAATCATCGCTTAAACCCCATAATTTGCTACTCAACTACCAATGGTCTTGCCTTTTTTGAGCCTGAAAATTATCACCTGGTTTGATTAACGCAGAACACTAACAACAACAGAATAATGAGAATTCTCTCTTAACTATTTTTCATTAGCTTACTGCTTTCACCAACATTTTGTTGATTGATCATTAATTTTATTTCCTTATCCGTTGTCTGGTTTATAAATAATATATTCCAACACTTTCCGCCTAATTCGACAGATACATAGTTGCTATTATACTTTCCTAAATGCCTATGGCTTACTTGGAGACCCTTATGCTATAACATAGTAGTGTGCATCACTGCATAGCTCTCTAACCCATAATCTATTTTTGTAACCGTCTGAAGATCGTGTAACATGGTGTAGATTCCAAACTCAGTTAGGAATCTACGGACCTAAACAGATATCTGCTGACTGAACGAAGTCATTTGGCTATAACTATCGCGGTCACTCCTAAAATTTCAAGTATCGTTTCTTGGGATATTTTAGTCCGTCGTTCGTGATGCCAAGTATACGTCATAAAAAGTCAAGATCGAAGTTGGTTAGTGTCAATGAAGCCAAATTACATGAAGAATCCCCTTTAACAAAGAAAGTGCCCATTGATACTCTTATGTGTTATATTTCAGTCTTAAATAAGAGTAATTATTATGATAGTGATGCTAGTTCTGATGTGGAAGTAGATGACGCAAAAGATCTATGTTTAGACGAGAAGCAGAAACCCGAAATATTAGAGGAGAGTATGAAACCACTTGCGCCGGTTGTTGCAGGTCATGAACTCCCTAAGGCAGATTCGAGCTACTTCGATATACAGCCAAGGGGGTACTGAAAGTTTTTACGTCACTTTGAGACCTATGTAGCGTCTAGAGTCATTGATGGTAGTCAGGGTTTGCTTTACCTGATACATTATTGCAAGGGAAAGATGAAAACAGCCATCGAGGGATGCGTCATGATGAACGCCCCTGCTGGTTATAAGAAAGCTAGACAGTCATATGTATTTGCTCGAAAAACCATAGAAAGCTTGTTTAATGCTGTGAATTTAGGTTGTAGTGACGCTCAACAGTTATCAAAACAGGCTATAAAAATGGAAAATTGTAATATAGTTTTAGAACAAATGAATTTTACTGTTGCTCTACCAAATTTACAGCGTCTCGTGCCAGAGTCGCTAGTAGTAGATTCAAAAAGTTGGACATAACGTGATGATGAATTGCCACTTGCAGTCTGGACAGTGGAATAGTTCGGACGTAAAAACTAAATGCAGCATCTGTTCTGACGACCACATTATTTATAAATGCCCACGTTTTTTAGCGCTTGCAGTTGAAGACTGGTGGCCCCACTCAAAGACCATGAGTATTCGCCCTGTTTGTCTTAGGCAAGGACATAGATCTAGTGAACTCAGATTGATAAGGTGATATGCGTTGATAGATGTGTAAAGAGGCATCGCCAACTGTTTCATAGTGACTCACCAGTCATTAGCTCGAATGATAAATCTGGTACAGAGAATTATCGTGGATTTACTGTCCCTAAGCAGTCAGGGGACGATTCCCGTACGATTAAGATCGGGAGACATTGAAGTTATCAGTTATGCTCTTTTGGATAATGGTTCCGACGCAAGATTGACAAAAACCGACTGCTTGAGATTCCTCGGGTTAAAGAAAGACCAAGGATCGTCGTTAATCCAGACAGTGGGTAGTAACAAAACAATTAAGATTACGGATGCGTCTTCTGCAGTGTATTCACTAAATCAAACTATTTTCACTTTGAATACAGTATTTGTTCGTCCTAAACACAAGTACTGAATGCAAGCGGCTAAGCCCTACCTAAAAAGAGATGGTGAGCTGTTGGAAAGATTCAAAAAACCTCAACTAAGCTGATTCCTAAAACAATAAGGCCCCCGTATGATTTCTGACTGGCTAACCAAAACCTATTTCCATTGTCAAATAGAAGAACCAGGGGCGATTTGACCACAGTTTGTAAATTATTAATGACAGATTTGGATCTGATATGTCCTCACTTTTCTTGTCTTCCAAGACAGAAAATTTGCGGGGACACTCTAAAAACGTTCACAAGCTCAGAACAAATTACTTGTCAGCTGACTAATTGCCCCAACATATGCTTCAATCTCCTTCTGTCGATGTTTTCAAAAAAGTTGATTCAACTGAGAGATTACCATTCCCAAGAATAACAGGGGCCACTTGACCTCCCGTTCTTTCCCAACTCAAAACTGAAACTGAAAACTGAATACGCTACCGTATCTTCCGCGGTGTGTTTAAGTGTGTTGCCAAAGTAATGATTGATTCGTTTTTCGATGATTCCTCAATAAAAAACGAACTTAACAATGACTTTTCTACCAACTGTTACTCCACTGTTGATCTCCAGTCTGATTTCTCACTTGATAATGTGGAAATATATCCAGAAATACCTAATAATGATTCTTATGGTGCTCTATTTCTGATGGACTCTGCGGACCTTTTAGATGTACGTGAAGAAGTTATTGGTGAAGAACATTTCGCGTCAAATCTTGATCAACCACCATACATGGAAGGACTTTCAAGGAGGTTTGGACTATTCTCTGCCAAGAGTTCACGAATCAGTACCAGTCATAAAGATAAAGGTATGTATCTGTTTTAACACTATCTTCTAATAAAAAACCCATTGCAATGTCCATGTAGGACGTTAAATTAATTTATAAATCCTTGGTCCGTCATTGAATAGTGGTTGAACATGCTTGTGCAACTAATGGCTGTTCGATGCCTATATTAGTGCACGCGGATCCATATCTCGGACCTGTACTTTGAAGACTGAAGACTGATATGAGTTCTTCTCGAGCAAGCTTTTACATACTCCTGGTGTTTTAAGCAAGTTAGCTGAAGGTGCGTACACTACCTCCTCCTGGAGCTGACTACTCGGCAAGAGGATCTATATGTCAGTATATCAGTCAGTCAGTCAGCTACAACGTAGGACCAGGCACATATATGCATCGGTCCAGGTTGCCATACCTCATTAACACAACAAGATGGACACCGGATTCATAAAAGTAGTTAATTCAGATGTGGTAATATATAAACGAAAGATTGCAATGAGGGTAAAGTACAGGAAGAAAGAATTAGTTCATAGAAAGAAAGATATGAAGCGATTTTAATCTCATAGTTTAAGGGAAGACAGAGAGTGTATACACCTACAATACTGTGACTGACTCTGAGCCATGTCATACACAGTCTCTAACCATTCGTTACGATAGTCATGTGGACGTCAATCAAGTATTCTGCATCTACTAACATGGCTCATACTACAAGATAGTGACTTCAAGGACTGATGTCACGTTTTGGTTTGGCCGCCCCTAACTTTCTTCCAACCACCCCGAACACCGGTTAGCATTGCACGTCGTGGTAATCGGTGTTCAGGCATATGTGGCCCAACCATCTCAGTCGATGAAGATTCACAACCTCATCAACTGATTTACCATCATTCCCTAATACCCTGCGTTTAACCTGACTATTACTTACCCGGTGATCCCAGCAGACGACAGCAATATTTCTAAGGCATCTGTGGTCAAATACTAGTAGCTTACGAGTGTCTTCTACTCTTAATGGCCATGTTTCGCTGCCGTAAAGTAGAACAGAACAGACTGCCGCGCAGTTTACTCGTCCTTTTATTTATAAACGGATATCTCGCCTTCGCCATAAGTGACGTAAGTTGGCAAAGGCCAAGCGAACTTTTCGAATCCGTGCTGAGATTTCGTCAGACAGCAACCCATTAGGGCTGATCAGACTTCCAAGATAAGTGAAGTTTTTTTATTTATTTTATTATTTCATTTTATTTGAACACATATATATTGGTACGGGAGTGTGCCAAATATATATGCGCCACACAATTTCAGTTCATTAGTTGCGTGTGGGCTGCGATACTGCCCGGGTGCCCAGACCGAAGCAGGTGGTTATCTTAGGGGGCCACACCCCGAGCCTTTGACCTAAAAGTCTAACCCATAAGGCAGTGGGGCATCGTAAGGAGATGCAGTCCCATGGTAGCCGGTGACCGAAAATTGGTTCATACGCAATTTGTTCCTTTAGGATACTGGTTCCCATGTACACCATTGGTTTGGAATCCAGATAAAGCGCCGGACATTCGGCGAGAATGTTATTTCCACCAATAAGTCTATGATGAAGTTAAACAAAAATGGAGAGAGTGGACAGCCTTGACGGACACTACTTGAGGTTGCAAAAGCAAATGACAGCTCGCCATAAGCTCTGACTCGACTAGTAGTGTCCGAGTAAAGAGCCTTCACGAGGTTTATGTACTTCTGAGGTAAGCCTTTCAGTGACAGACACTACCACAGAATCTCGCGGTCTACCGAGTCAAATGCTGCTTCTAAGTCAAGAAAGACCACCATTGTCGGGCGCCGATAAGTATGCTTATGTTCTAGAACCTGACGAATGGTGAATATGTGGTCGATGCAGCCACGATCAGGTCTGAAGCCAGCTTGATTCTCTCGTGTTTGCAGTTCACGAGTCTTAGTTAGGCGTCTGATAATTATCGACGCTAGTATTTTAGATACTATATTAGTTACACTAATCCCTCTATGGTTGTCACAGGATGATTTTAACCCTTTCTTATATATTGGGACGATAAGTGATTGTGACCAGTTAGATGGGTTAACGTCTAACTCCCAGATCCTAGCTAAAATATTAGTCAACCTAATCGCTAAAATTGGGCCACCATCCTTAAAGACCTCTGGAGCCAGTCCATCTGGACCAGCTGCTCTTCCTCGTTTCAGATTAGCTATAGCCTTTTGAACTTCTGCTAGAGTTGGGGGACCTACTTCAATGTTCCATTCACACTGTCTGTGAATGGAGGGTAGTTGTAGAGTAGCTGAAGGCCAGCTGAACTGTTCTCTGAAATGTTCCGCCCATCGTTCTAATCGTCTGGACTGAGAGCAGATGTGAGTGTCGTCTTTTTCCGAAATAGTCTGACTTACACTTGATTTATTAATTCCAGTTTCTTTTATTAGTCTGTAGAGCTGTCTTGTGTTCCCTATAGCCGCCGCCTTTTCCATCTGTTTTGCTTTTGTTGCCCATTACTGTTCACGGTCATTCCTTAGACTTTTGCCTAACCTAGATCTGATTTGTTTTCGCTCTTCATCGTGTTCAGAGCCTGATGGGATGAGTTTACGAGAACCCATCAGTACAATAGACCTTGAGGAAATCCATTGGTTCTTTGTAACCATGTGGTCTAAATCACTGATAGATTTCACTGCTGTTTCCACAGCTGTTTGTATAGCTTTCCAAGCAACATCTGGGTCAACCTCGTTTTGAGAACTACCTGATTGTGACCTCAGTTGTTCCTGGATCCTACTTTTGGTTTTCTCGCTACTCAATTCAGTTCTAATGGCTCTTTTTAGTGTGGATTTTTTGCGTCCAGTGAGGCGCAAGCAGATGCTTTCACGTCTTAGGGCGTGGTCGGAGTCCAAGCAGGTACTCCAGAATGAGCGACAATCTTGTACCGACCCTCTCCAACGATGACTGATGGCAATATGGTCTATTTGAGTCCATCGTTAGTTTGGTGTAGGGGGTCGCCATGTTAGACGATGTCTCTCCTTATGCTTAAAATTTGTGTTTGCTAAATATGAACGATTGTCTGAGCACAGTTGCAGCAGACAATCACTATTATCTGTTCGTTGTGCCGGAATACTAAAATATCCACCTAAATGCCTTTCTGTTTGGTTTAAACTACCTATCTGGGCATTAAAGTCACCTGCTACGAGTAGTAAATCTGAACGTCTAGCTTTCTGAAGAAGTTCAGATAGCTTTCTGTAAAATTCATCTTTCACTTCAATGGGAGCGTAGGCAGAAACGACAAAAAGGCAACGACGTGTGTCCCTATCCTTCCGAGTTCTTATGGAGCCGTTTAGCCGAACAGCACATAGACGACTGTTCACATGGATCCATTCTAACAGTACTTGTTCCGCCCTCATGCTTAGTGCTATCCCTACTCCTGCCAGTTCACGAGAGCTGACCGTCGGGTTACCAGATACACGGAGGGTGTATCTCGTTGGCTCTCTGTTTTGCCGAGGTGAGGTAAAGTGAATGACCACATTGGAATCCTGTATGCGTTTCAGAGACACAGCATACATCAATGGTACGAAATTATGTCAGTATATACTTGTTGTGAGTCGGCACACGCAGGTTTAATATCTTTTCCCGTTTGAAAGGATTGCATTTTTTACTCCTGATGTCTTATCGTCACATTCCCGTGATAAAGCAACTACGTGAGTGATGCAATGGTTAGACTCAATGTTTCCTGTAAAACGAGTGTTTTTAGAAATGTGGTCCATTCTTATTGTATCAAACTATTCATGAGTAAAGTCAAGAGTAGAGCCCAAAGCAATTAAATCAAAGCCTGCAAACTATGTGGTTGGTAACTAAGGGCTTGATACCTAAATCGGGTGGCGTGACAGAAAAAGACAGCTTCTGAAAAAGTCTTATTTTTGTCGACTAAAATTCCGTAGTGGTATAGCGTTGTAAGAGTATAAGCAGTAATCGGAAACATTAGGGCTTGAAGATGTTATTCAAGGAGTATAATACAGTGAAATAAATTTGCAAAGAAAACGGCATTTAACTTCGATGCGATCTTGTTTAATCCGTCCATTACGAGAGATGTCCGATGATATTCCTTCTTATCTCGTTTTTTCCAAGTGGCTCAACTAAATTAACTCATGGCTTTACGTAAAGCAACCGTAACTAGCATGGTGTAATTGAGGCCCATTTGTATAAATTGATCTATGCTGTCATTTTCCTGCCAATCTTTACCTCTAATTTACCTTAGTCTAGATCATCTAAATATTCTAAGACAAGCTCAAATTTAGGTCTGAGTACATTTGTCTAAATAGCACCCAATCAGTTTCTGTCACTGAAAGCAATCGCTTAGTATACCATGAGTAAATTAACTTCATATACGCATAATGATCAACGAATGTAGGTTTAGAAATCTTAAAGTCAGTAGTACGAAGTCAAAACAGTTATTCAAGAAAGTATTTTAGCCGATATCAAGTAATCGTCCTTTTAACGCTCCCAACCGTTGCTGCGACATTGACGTGATGGTCAGGCTTGCATACCGTGATAAACCGATCGACCTATACCGACTGGAACAGTCGTTCCTCAAGGTTCTTTCATGCCGGACAGGTTGGTTGAAAAGCGGTGAGACTAAAAGCAGCTAACCCAAGGTCTGAGGGCGAAGTCGTACTGCTGATTGTACAGAGGTGTGACAGCAGTAAGGTGTTTCCTTCAGACAACCAGCATAACAGCGATGCTGTCTTCCCACATAGAGGGATTGGGTTAGAAAAGGTCTATCCTAAAACTACACACCTCGCCTCATCTCACGGATTTCCGTCTCCAGTGGTACAGATCTAACACGAAAATTACCCACAAAAAGGTCGTGTGTGCCCGACCTCAAACAGTTGTTCCTTGGACAGTGCTGTCACGCTCTCAGGTCACTTAGATCACCTCTAATCCAATTTCCCTTTCAGGTACCTCCATAAGAACCCTTCCACTGTGTGGGCAACCAGGAAGTGAAACCTGTCTTCATACCCCGAACAGCATTCAAGATCACTGTATTCATAATTAATTTTCCTCTTCAATTCCTATTATTCTTCCCACCTCGGCTTTAACTCGAGACTTCCTCTTGTGACTTCCTCCTCAAGTGTCACCATGGCCAACGATTCTAGTGCGCGAAACACTGTCCTAGGTCTACTGAAACCCCGCTCCAAACTACACATTGGAGCCTTCGACGTACACGCTGTATGTCAAATCAGCCAGCAGGTATTCCTGGCTAAGACCCTAAAGTTTCATGTTATTGACGTATACTGTGTCTCCAAAAACACGCATACAGGATCCTAGTGTGATCATTCACTAGGCCTCACCTCGCCAAAACAGAGCCGACGAGATACACTTTCCGTTTATGTGGCGACCCGATGGCTATTTCTCGTGAACTGGCGGGTGTAGATATAGCACTAAGTACGAGGGCAGAACAAGCACTGTTAGAATGGATCCATGTGAACAGTCGTCTATGTGCTGTTCGGCTAAACGGCTCCATAAGAACTCGGAAGGATAGGGACACACGTCGTTGCCTTTTTGTCGTTTCTGCCTACGCTCCCATTGAAGTGAAAGATGAATTTTACAGAAAGCTTCCTGAACTTCTTCAAAAAGCTAAACACTTAGACACAATACTAGGTGCAGGTGACTTTAATACCCAGGTAGATAGCTTAAATCAATCAAAAAGACAGGTGCCTATTTTAATATTCCGGCTAAGTGAACAAATAATGATGATCATCTGCTGCAACTGTGCTCAGACAATCGTTTATTTTTAGCAAACACCAATTTTAAGTATAAGGAGAAACATCGTCTAACATGGTTACTCCTACACCAAACTAACGATGAACTCGACCATATTTCCATCAATCATCGTTGGAGAGGCCCGACAGAAGACTGTCGCTTGTTCTGGATTACATGTTTGGATCATGCTCTAATACGAGTACGCATGAGCTTGCGCCTCGCTGGATGCAGAAAAACCACATTAAGAAGATCCATTAGAGTCGAACTCAGTGACCAGGAAGCCAAAAGTAGACTCCAGGAATAACTGAGGTCACACTTGGATAGTTCTGAAAACGAGGCTGCCCCAGGTGTTGCTTGAAAAGATATACGAACAGCTGTGGAGACAACAGCGACATCTATTAGTGATTTAGACCCGATGGGTTCTTACTAAGTCTATTGCACCGATAGATTCTCGTAAACTCATCCCATCAGGCTCTGAACACGATGAAGAGCGAAAACAAATCAGATCTAGGTTAAGCAAAAGTCTAAGGAATGACCGTGAACAGTAGTGGGCAACAAAAGCAAAACAGATGGAAAAGGCGGCAGCTGTAGGTAACTTAAGACAGCTCTACAGACCAACAAAAGAAACTGGAATTAATAAGTCAAATGTGAGACTATCTCGGAAAAAGACGACACTCATATCTGCTCTCAGTTCAGTTGACTGATTGACCTTTTAACCCTGTGATTACGCTTCCGACTTAATGAGATTGTAAATCACAGTCTAGTTCTTTTCTCAAATTACTCCGAAAATATTTCCAGAGTAAGATTAGCCAGATATCCACGTTCACATAACAGTACTCCAGTTCATTCTGTTTACCACCAACCATTTTCTAATTCTCCAGACTTAGATTTCTATTATCATATCAACATGGTACTTCAGTTTTCATAGAGAACGTTAGTAAAAGACTGCTGCCCAGAGTCAACATGGAATATGTAGGATTTAATTCCCCTACAGATGAATTTTCTGATAAGTTCCTAGGCTTTCATAGTCTTGGCACGACCAAAGTCGAAACAAGTAAGTTGTTTGGTTTGTAACACTTAAATCCGTTTCTGGAACATAAATTAATATAGTTAGTGCATAAACAGAAATCAGTTCAATCCGTTAAAAGGAGAAAATGAAGAGATAAAAATATCACATACTAATTAGTAACTAGAGCTCAGCAAATAAGTCAATAAGGTTTGTGATCGGGAAACAAGCGTAGTCACACCAAAGTCAGAACTAATCGAAGTAGTGGGCGTTTGACAGCACCATCGGTGAGTTTGTTTTTCGGTCACACTAAACCGTACCAATTAATGAGTTTGCTCATTTAGGTTGTACAGGGAACTACCTGCTTAATTAACATAGATCAAGGCCGATTTTTGTCTTACAGATTTCTTTCTTTCTTGTTCTCTCCTAACTTTGAACGTGGTGTTATTTTACAGATTTTTTGTCCAGTTTCTTCCCATTTAAACTAGATTTCCTATAGTTAGGTCCACACAACAATTGGCATTATGACTCTTTTCTCACCAATAATATAAACTGCGACCATTGCCCTAGGAGCATACTTGTCCCAGATCCTGTATTGTTTGTCAGACGTTATTAGGCCTCATTAGTTACCTAGTGTTGGTGTTATTTACACAGCATCACAAATGGTCCAAGATAATCATCGAACTTATCTCTGAGTAATCGTTATTGATAGATCAAATGTAAGACTTATGAAAGTTTATAAATCTGAACTGTCACAACATAACGAATTTTACAGAACTATAGAAAGTATAAATACTGGCTTAATTAGTGTAAAATTTAATCACGTAAATTTTAGTTTTGTCAACACTTAGACTGAATAAAACATAGACAGCTCAGCTCCTTTCAATAGTTCTTTGACGATAAGCGCAGATGTAGCCTCCTGTTTCTGTGATTTTCCATGTCATATGTAGTTCGTGATTATCGTCTGTCGACTTGTTTAGAAGTCTTAAACATTCATAAATCAACTGTTTGGGTTTGCTTAATATTTCCTGGTTCTTAAGTTAGTATTGAGTCGCGATAATATTTTCAGGCGCAATTTTTTCTTCATCTGGTTTTGTATCCTTTTGTATATCATTATTATTATTTAAACACATAAACGTTGGTACAAGGAGGCACCAAATACATATGCGCCACACAAATCTCATTCGATGTGTGTGAAGGTTGTGACACTGTCCGGGTGCCCAGACCGAACCAGGTGGTTTTCTTAGGGTGCGACACCCCGAGCATTTGACCTAGAGGTCTAATCCACAAGGCAGTTTAGCAACGTTAGGAGATACGGTCTCATAGTAGCCGGTGACCAATAGTTGGTTCGTACGCCGTTTGTTCCTTCAGGATCCCGGAGCTCATGTGCACCATTGGTTTGGAATCAGGGTTTCCCAACTCCCTTAGGTGAATCCACCAACCCGGTTAAAGCACCGGACACTCGCTTTTCGTTTTGTCACTTTCGTAAACAACACCCGTGGTTCGAGAAGGCAGTGAGTAGGACTTTTATGGCAGTGGTTGTATGCACGTGGCCATGTGAGAGCATTTCGAGAGGGAAAGATGACCCTCCACACTCTCAGCCTAACCAGGGCATTTGGAGTCATCTTTTTGTGTATCAACTATTATTTCGCTTTAGTTTATTATATATTTTTTTGTTTGTTTGTAGGTAATAAGGAACACGATGTTTTCCATGATAAAAATTCTTTTTCCGATGAACAGAAGCATAGTAAATGTTCGTGGAATGATGGATCTGAAGAGATAACCGATAAAGCCTATTTATGTAACCCCGATAGTCCATTATCGATCTCTAATGACATCGGAGTAACTTCATCAGATAGTATAGATGAAGTGTTTGACAAAGATCATGTAACCAGTCACGATATCATTGATGGTGACGATGTTTCTTTGGAGAGGCTTTCCGATCTTCATATTCCATTACCATTATTTCACACTGAATCTAATTATTCAGATTCTTCACAGATAAATCCTTCCGATTCAGAAGTGGATGCATGCAGTTTGTTTTCGTCAAATAACTGTGCTACAAATCAATCTGATGATTATGTCCAAATAAAACATCTTAGATCGACTGACTCATCTAATTTAAACTCAAATGAATCTGCGACTAAAATCCCTACCTCGGTACCTGTATCGTCATTATCTTCTGCAAAAACAACTGAAATAATACGACTACCATCTCATGTTAACCATCTAACCACAACAGTTAACCCGAACTATCCATCTAGGCCAATATCAGCTTGTCTTTCTTTAAAGTCGAAATATCGCCGTTGTGGACAAATAACACTGAAATCAGGTGCATCCATCCTTCGTACGAAAAGTTCATTTAATGAATTAAAGCCATGCTTTAAACCAACATTCACTTCTACACGTTTTGCTCATTGCGGATTTCTAGCTGCTTCTCGTTTTTCCGGATCAATAAAAGAATCAGCAGGTAGTCCAACTTGGTTTCCGAAAGTTGCATTCGTTAACTCTAATACACCACTCACTCTTAGAAAACCAGCTATTGTGATTGCCTCATCATATCCCAATTCTAGATCAGGTAACTTTTAGTTATTATACTACAATAGTTTCTTTTTAAGACTACTTACACCGTGATCTAACAGTTAGATTGGCATACAATCTTGTAAAATGTGTTTATTGTTTTCTTTAATGAATAATAATCTATCTAGTGTCCGTTTTACGTTTACAACACTTAATTTACGAAGTTGTTAAAGGTTTTAAGTTTCAACCTTAGAGTATCAGATTAAGATTCCACTCCACTTACTTCAGTTTGGTTTATTGTCTGGCACTATTACTTCTCACCGTTATTTACTATGTTACTGATATGACTATAATAACAACGATAACTTGACCACACTTTAATACCAGGACACCATAGTTCTCTTCTTACCTCTAGCTGATCCAAAAATGAATATTGTGGTGATTTTTTCAGCAGCGACCAAAGAAAATTCTTTCACTTATGTACGAATTATAGTAAGTGATTAAGAAGAAATTGTCACAATGCAATAAAAGCTTACTGGGATTCAAACGCGCAAAAATCACTGCAATTTAATATATAATCTTACAAATAATTCCATCTGATACGTTATGTCTGGGGGTTTAGCATTTCTAAAACATGCCGCCAATTAACAACTAACTTCTTCCTGGTTCATCTGAACTTGTACCATCTTCCATCTACATTGGTCGGACCATCTTGTTCGTAAATCCGATTTAGGCGTCCAGGTTGTTTGAATTTTCCATGGTGTTCAGCAAAATATGTAAGGGTATGTTTTGGTTGTATTCAGCTCAGTAGTATTTCTCTCACAGCTAAGTCATACGAAACACCCATCCTTGCCTCATTGTTATATACCTTTATATCCACTGGTCACGGGAACCCGGTAGTTGTAAGGAAACTCTTGTGTACGAACTTCAAATGCTGGGGAATTAGCTTGGATTTCTGGTCGTCTCCACGGCATCATGGTATAGTGAGTTCTTAAGTTTCGATCCATTAAGGTTTCCAGTTTGGTTAAGTTGTTAGGAGCTGCGCTATTAGGCAAAATGCGATCGATAGATAAGAAACTTTTTACTCCCTCCCTTTGTTTGTAGAAGCACCCACTCGGAGGTGTGATTTCGACTGTGTATGATATGGGACCAATACACTTAATTTACAGCTTGACAGCATCAGAACTTTGTGAACTCTGACCCATTATATGATACTTAGGTGTCTTCCAATCAGTTACAATAGAAAATTTACCTATACTGAAAGGATTTTTTTGGTGGACAGAAGAACAATAAGGACAATCTCTGGCCATTTCAACCAGGCGTTCATAAGTACAAAATATGTGACATCGTTTATCGGGTCGGCAGAGTTGATATACAGTCGTATCCATAATTAACCTTGCTATTGTGACCATCAATTTACTGTGTTTTGCGACTTATTGGTGGGGATAACATATTTGGACAATTTTGATCATACATTTGTTCATCTCCGGCCAATTACCAAATCTTTGTGCACTGGATTTTTTTACAACTATCTCCTTTAATAAATGTGAATAAAGTGAAAATGACAGTTAACACAGAATATCATGAATTCATTTTTATTTCCTAGTCTCCTATCAACTGCTTACAATAGTATTCGTATTGAAATGTAATATGATATTGGATATATCACTCAATTTCGTGGATCAGTTGAAATTAGATATTAACACCATTGGATGCCGGCTCAGTGGTTTAATGGTTAAGCGCTCGCGCGCGAAACCACTAGGTCCTGGGTTCGAATCTCGCAGGGGGCGAAGTCGTGGATGCGCACTGTTCAGGAGTCCCACAATAGTACGAAACAGCCGTCCAGTGCTTCCAGGTTTTCCGTAGTGTTCTAGCTTCAACTGACTCATGACCTTAACCATAGAAATTACTATGATATCCACAAAACCCATCTGATATTAAAATTATTAATTGTAATTTTGAATACAGTGAATTGTCGGGGTAGAAAAGCGTATGACTCTTACCGTTGTCGAAAAATGGAGGGACAAGAACACCTAAGGATCCGTCATTATACTTAGTAGCTTATTAATTTTAATTGGTGAAAAAAATAAAATCTGATTTATTGTCTTTTTATGTGTCACAATCAAATAGTGTCCAGATTGTTTAATTCAAGGGTTATACTCTAGTTTTGCCGTATTTCATTTCTTAGCATAAATAAGTACATACTGACAAATTTGAGCCACACCCATAAAAAAAAATTTTTTTCATTCGCCTATTCCGTTATAAATCTAAGAGTATTATAATTACTTTTATTGTTCATTTACTAAAGATCAAATGTACACATAATTGGCGAGTAATTACTGTGTGTATTATCGGATTTACCATACCGAATAAGTTCTTGTGTCATTCATTTATCAAGTATGAGTTTATGTACTCGGCTTTAAGCCATATTGTGTGAGAATTAAGTTTATTGCTACACGGCTGCTCAAACTAAACTAAGTGCAGAAGAGTTCGATTTTGCAGCCTAATCTATTGAAAACCGAATTCCTTAACTATCAAGTTATAAACCAGTCACGGGGAAATATTATTTTCTGTTGTTTTCAGTTTGTCTATAGTTGCTACAATAGTTTAAAATATATGTAATGCTCTAGATTGAGAATGAAGATTGTTTTTTCTGAATGTTATTCTATGAATAGTAACGAAATTTCGTAACTATAAGATATCAAAAGTACAGTTAACTTACTTATTTACGCCTGTTACTCCCGATCGAGCATAAGCCTCTGATCAGTATTCTCCAACTCACTCCATCCTGAGCCTTCCTTTCTAGCTCTATACAATTGTTGTTTATTCTTCTCATGTCTGTCCCCATTTCTCGGCGTAATGTGTTCTTTGGTCTTCTCTTCTCCTTTGACCTTGAGGGTCCCAAGTGAGGGCTTGCCTTGTGATGCAGTTAGGTGATTTCCTCAATGTCTGTCCTATCCACTTCCAGCACTTCTTCCTGATTTCTTCCTCCGCTGGGATCTGGTTTGTTCTCTCCCATGGTAGGTTGTTACTGATAGTGTTTGGCCAACGGTTCCGAAGTATTTTGTGTAGACAGCTGTTAATGAACACTTGTATTTTCTGTATGATAGCTTTAGTAGTTCTCTAAGTTTCCGCCCCATACAGTACAGTGGTAAATATTAAAATAAATTGATGTAATTTTACAAGTTTGAACCATTTATGGATCTGTTTCATCACTAACAACCGTTCACAAACTTATCAAAATGAATTAATTAAGTACTTGTAAAATAATTTTTAGAAAAGTTCACTTCTAGAAATAAGTGCTCACAATGTCCAAAACGACAATGAATTCTTCACAATTAAATCACCCTAGTTCAGTCTAATGTATTACCACAAAAAATATACTGTAGCTAATAATTCGAAATGCACAATTTTTTTTTTACCTGTACTATATCTCATTCAATTTTTTCTACTCATTTTGGTTATAAAAATCCTAATTTTAATCTAATCCTGACAACATGATAAAGATATTTTTGCTTATAATCTTACAACTGATTATTGTACATATCCTTTGATTTTATCATGGATCTTTATTGTTCCAATATCACTGTAGACATGAGCTTCTTTACGCTGGAGACATAAGCATGCACGTAACTTCGTGTTTGCTACGCCTTAAAAGTCTACTGTTCGACTCAATATTTAACCTTTAATTAATCAGTCAATGACCACCGATCCCGTTTGTTCAACCATCTGTTTTATCCAAAACTTTATTTGGGCATTCATTTATATATGTAGACAGATGAGCACTCACACAAACGTACCAAAGTGTTTGTGATACGTTTCTCTCCTTCTAAATGCAAAATTTTGCCTTCGAATTATTATTATTATTTTAACACATAGATAGTGGTACAAGGAGGCACCAAATACATATGCGCCACACAAATCTCATTCGATGTGTGTGAAGGCTGTGACACTGCCCGGGTGCCCAAACCGAAGCAGGTGGTTTTCTTAGGGGGCCACACCCCGAGCCTTCGACCTGAAGGTCTAACCCACAAGGCAGTGGAGCATCGTAAGGAGATGCAGTCCCATGATAGCCGGTGACCAACGATTGGTTCATACGCCATTTGTTCCCGCAGGATACTGGAGCCAGCCCATGTGCACCATTGATTTGAAATCCGGTTAAAGCGCCGGACATTTGCTTTTCGTCCTCTCATTTTCGTAAACAACACCCGTGGTGCGAGAAGGCAGTGAGTAGGACTTCCCTGACAGAGGCTATATACGCGTGGCCATGTGAGAGCATTTCGTGAGGGAGGGCGAGCCCACCCCACTCTCGGCCGTACCAGGGCATTTGGGGGCCTTCGAATTGATCTGCATTAGTGTTCAATCTAGTCGTAGAAAGTAAAATATTTTTGAAAACTTTACTTATTTTGACATTTTTATCACCCCTAGTGATTTGATCTCTGACAAAACCTCAACGACACGAATGCCAAAAGTCCTCTTGACTCCTTTTGAAAATCTGGCCACATATGTCACAGACATGATCCACACCTATCTATGTCAGGTAAAGTATCCTGTTCAGTAGTCTGCTCCATATTTCCTTTTGGCCCCGAGACTTGCTTATGTTACCTAAATTTGGTAATCAGTGTCCTGAAATGGTTGGATTTGTTGACACTTTACGGCTATGTGAAAATATATACCATGAATACAACCATAGGGAACAAGTTCATAGGACGTTTAGCACTTGATGAACAGCAACAGCCAAATACGTCCACTTATTTACATGTATGGGTGATGGTTTAATCTTGAAGTATTTAAATCTTAACTATTGAATCTATAGTTCGAACCCAAATCTGCCTACTTTGATGTAGGGAACTGGATGGCCTGTTTAACGTTTGATAACTTGATGAATATATATTAGTGCTGTAAATTTGTAGTTTTAATGTTCATGTAACTATAGTTTAACATGTAATATTACTATTTTCTGTCTATCTAGATGCCACATATCTGAAAAGTGAAGGAATAAATTTTATGACACATTCTTCCGTTATGCAATCAACAGATTTACAATCTTCTCTTTTATACAGTCAAAATGGATTTTATATTTCTACAATGCATCATAATTCATTAGGAGGCAATAATCCCGGTGATTTAGCATCAGTTGTAACCGCTACAATCCCATCTGATTTCACATCAAATCGTACTGTATTCTGCCCTCATCTTGGTTGTGGGAAAACATTTCGAGATACAGCTGCAATGCGTAAGCATTTACATACCCATGGTCCACGCGTTCATATCTGTGCAGAATGTGGTAAAGCGTTTGTTGAATCAAGCAAATTGAAACGTCATCAACTTGTTCATACTGGGGAAAAGCCTTATCAATGCGCATTTGATGTAAGCATTTGTTTTTGCATTTTGAGTCATAATTATAATCATTTAATTCAGTCAATTTTGGAGATTAGGTCAATAGGAATACGGTTTTCATTGCAAAGACTGAATTTCAAGTAAACAAACTGTTGAAAACTACAAAGTTCCGGACATTTTTTTCTTAAGTCTGGACCCTTCAGAAGTATGAGTTGCCCTATAATATATTTTAATATATTGACTATTAAACTGAGACTGTAAAACACGTTTTCAACAGTTTGAAAAACACAAAACATTTGATATGATTCCGGTAGACTCTGCTCAGAGCAATTAGATTACAACAAAATTCGACAAAAGCGTCAGTCATTTTTTTTTCAATTCTATTGCACGATAATAGAAGATAAACAGTCTCCAATTACTATCTGTGGTCACTCACTCTACATAGACTTTTCATTGAATGAAGAATCTTGTTTCTTTGGGTTGATATAGGATTCAAATAGAAATTGTTTTCAGTCAGTGAAGACACTGACTGTTGGACTGAGCCATGTAGTTAGGTACAGACTACCTGGTTTAGATCCGCGCGATTATTGGGGTCAATCTTTAGAGACTGGATGACATGGCTTCAAATCGGTTGCATTGGCACAGGTGCATTCTTCTCCTTGTCTTCTCTTAGATCCTAAACTTCTATATTCAATAATTTTTTTTGTAATTTTTCTTTCAACTTGTATCTTCAATGCCTAATCTCTTCTATTACCATTAATACTGTTGTTACTACCTCTACTACCCTGGAATATTTTTTGACAATTTCATTCCGGTATGTTAATAGAGTGTGGCAGCTTGAACCGATGTACGTGTCAGAATCTACTTTGCGTATGACGACTGAAGATAGAAATATACTCCACAAACACTACTTATTTATTGTAACATACTGTAGAAAACCAAACTAATTGAATAGTTTCAAAATTCTAAGTAACAGAGAATTCGGGTTCATGCTTTTAAATGTCGTGGGCTTGTAGACCATTAGTTTAAACACCCAGCAGTTAAGCAGTATGTCATAGGTTTGCACTGTACTCAATCTTTGGAGGTTTCTTAAGTGAGTTAGTCTAATTACAGCATTTATAATGAATGCGGTTCATAACCTATACGTTTTGACTGTACATGCTGTGTCAACGCAGTGGTCTCTTTTCCTTATCGTCATAATCTAATGGAACTATATTGAATAGAATACTGTCCTTGAGAGTCATCCTTACTAGATAGATCGATTATATGACTGAGACCATAAGCTGCAAATTTAAATCCTTATGGGCAACCCATACTTTTGAATATACCAAAGTGTAACTACGAAAGAGTATTGTAAATGCTGTCAGTAAATGTGTTTGAGAATATCATTCATCTTTCTAAACTTTCAGTTACATAACTGAGTTGTCGAAACACTCCACTTTTAACCTCCAGGTTACATGATCTTGGACCCAACTCCACAGTTTTTGGTTTCACTTGCTGCTTAATAAATGAGTAGTCATGACATAATAAATGCGTGACTACAGGTGTTGAGTACATAAATATCTTCACATTTGCATATAAACTTTCATCTAAATGTGTTACTAGTTCTAATTGTAAAAAAGAAATGACATACCTGTTCTATCAAAAAAAAATTTTTTTGTTTCTTACTTATTTTAGGGTTGTGGTAAACGTTTTTCTTTGGATTTCAATCTACGTACTCATTTACGTATTCATACTGGGGATCGACCGTATCCGTGTCCACAACCTGGTTGTAGTAAACGTTTTGCTCAGTCGACAAATTTAAAATCACATTTAGCAACACATAGTAAAATTCGAGCTACTCATCAATCAAGTTTTATGAATAGACATCATTTAAATTCTACTGTGAATGGTAGTGGTGGTGGTGGTTCAGTTCTGCTACGCCCTGCTGCTGCTCATCCTAATCATACACATGATCAACCTATTCCAATTTCATTAAGTAGTTCTATTTTACAATCCCCAATGAATTTTTCCACTATAATTCCCATAGGATCTAAAAATATAAACGTTCGTAATCGATGTGTCAATAGATTCAAGTCAAATTTAAGTTCTTTATTTCAAGAGGTTCATTTAGATAACTCTCGATTACAGTAAGTAATATATGTATGTATACATGATTCTTTTGTTGGGTTCATATGAGTAATCGGCAGGAAATCCCGAACCCGGGTTTCGTGCTAGCTTGGTAGTAATGTCTCAAACTGTGACATAGGTTTAAATCTCATAGGGAGCATTCGTGACTTCGTAGTCCTAGGTATGTTTTGGTGACGAGTGCCAAATAGCACAAAACCTAGGTCGAGAATTTCCTACTGGCTACTTTAGACCATTTAACATCTCAACATAATACTTGCCCTATCGAGTCCCTTAAATTGGTGACCACATTTCAACTTTATCTATAGATTTCATTCAGCATTGAAGGCCTAGACAAACATAACACTAATCACTGCTCAGTGATCACTTACAATAGCTTAATTATTAGAGTGCTTGATGTTCAATTATTAAGTTACTGATTCAAATCTTTTATCTACTTCATGTTGCTTGGTCATACACACGCACACATTGTAACTCTAAGTCAAATACATATACTTGTATTTAGTTAGTGAGTTGCGTTTCATTCAGATTGATAAAACTAACACTTCATTCTGCTGATTAGCTAGTCATTGTCCACAATTTGGTCTTGAACTTTCTATAAACACTACTATTGTATGCAAAACAAAATTAAAATATTTCTTGTGTACTAGGCTATGTAATAAAAATCATATTTTAACTGGACCTAAATGTAATAGAAACTGACATAAGTTTTCATACTTTTAAATAACACAAATTCCCACTGGAAATACTTCCAACCACACATAACCTGTCACAAATATCCCTTAGCATAATTTGCTATATCTAATAAGCAAAATAAAATGAAATGAGCAATATAAATAGCAATAGAGTCAGATCAATACCAAAAAGAAGGAATGCGTTCGCCAAGTAAAACCGTTTTTAAACTCAAGGTTTAAAGGAAAATACAGTGAATTCATCTGCGCCACAGTGATAGTTTCTGAGCTAGGTCAGTCAACGTCTCCAACCGACTAATCGTGTTTATCCCACAGATTCCAACCAGTTAATCTGCATCCATCAGCACAACTCAAACTAATGGTCAATTACTTCGTGGACTGATGCTACTTTTTTATTTGGCCGCCCTTAACTTTCAGTTCACTCTTACTCTAACCAGTGTTGCGTTCAATGTATTAATGTCTCTTTCTATAGCACATAGATTCGAATTTCACAGAGAGAATCTCAGTTCCAATTTGCACGAAGTCTAGATCACCTAGCATCACAGTAACTAACAACAAAGTAATGAGAAGTATTAAAAAACGTACACATTAATCATCTTCAAGCACGATAATTTGAGTTGTCTTATCCTATGGAACATTCAAGACCAAAAGCAAACACTCCCCTACTTATATTAAGGTAGTTATCAGCAAACCCTAACCTTATGTATCATGCTAGTTGGCACTTATCAGGAAGAGATAATTACAATCTTCAGAGGGCTGATGCTCCCTGTGGGATTCAGACTCGCATAATCTGGCCTCATGGTGTGAGATGTTACCACAACTGTTCAGTCCACTACTGGACTTCCTTTGGACTGAAATATTTACATAAATGTGTCTTTTAGCCCAATCATAGGGATAATTTGGTGTATTTTAGTCAAGTTTATATTTTTTCATTGATAATACGGTAAAGGTTGTTATGTGATGACTACCGCCCAGTTGATTTGGATGGTCATTGTCTGTTAAAGTAAATAATAAATGTAAGTTACGAAATAATCGTATTGATGGTTAATACGAAATATGCTAAATTTTCCAAGTAATATATTGATTTTAAATAATCAGGTAATCTCGGCACTCAAATGTTCCTCTTTCACACAGTAAGCGTTTATTTTTCTCTTAAGGGATTACAACTATGGGATTATTCGATGTATCCAATTGTTAATCGTTTGATCATATATTTTTCAAGACTTGTGATATGTTTTATATTCAACCCTAATCAGTCGACCATGGTTGATGATTATCTGCGATAATATTGTTAATTTTTATGCGTACACATACGGTTGATGAATACGAAGAACGTAAAAGAAAACTTAGGTCTCGTAAATCTTTGAACCAATTGAATTCAAATTAGTAGTCCAAGATTTCACCATATGCATGCTTCCTTGTTAGGTTTTGAACGTTAATTTGTCACATGTGATTGAATGATAATAATGTTTTATAAGTGATATGTCTCGAATTTAGTCATAGTAGCACAGGTGTAATCATTGTTTCACTCCATCTGTTCGACGCTTATATTTTTTTATTATCATCAATACTACTAATATTTTTTCTAACTTATTCGATATTCATCTGTTTAATATTTGCTCTTACTATGTGGATATAAAATTCGGAAACTAGCCAATGGATATTTATGCTGAAGTTTACTTTATGTTACGACTGATTGAGTTAACTACTAGGTGAGATAGGATTTCGAATCATTTCTTAATTTAATCAAGTTCACTCGTTTGTAAATCAATAGCTTGAACCCTGTTTATACATTAAGACTTGCTTTCGTCTCCAGTCAGTTTCCTAAAATATTAGTGAGTAGTAATAGTCATAATATTCATCACATAACTTTTATACATGATATTTTTTTCTCTTCTTATGCTTCTAGTACTTCATCACTACTGAATATTAATAATACTTTGTCTATCCCTACATCAAGTCCAGATCAGTGCGAACCAACAGATATCAGCCCACTATCTCCATTGGATCTGACTTCTTCCTCGACAGAATCCAACAGTTCTACATTGTCATCTCAAAGTGCCACAACTCACATAAAGCATAACATTTCATCTTCTAGATCGGTGATTTCAAAAGCACAACAACTATCCACTAATACAATCGAAAGTCAATTAACTGATTTCACCAATTCCACTACTACCAATGATGCTGTACGATTGTTTGAAAATCATTCTTTAGAATGTTCTATAAATTTAGACCATGAAAAAATTGATCTCAATGTTGGGGTTACACAACCTATGATTAATAAAACTGATGAAGATTTTTCTAATAATTCACATGTGAATATTGATGACATTTATTACCAGTCATCTTTTATCAAATCTGAATCCGATATTACTGTTAATAATTCAATCCCACCAATACAAAATTGTAAAACAACAAGACGCTCAAGAAAATGTTTAAGTATAACTAAACGATCTGAATCGCCTAATTTTGAAGATTTTCTAAAAACTCAAGATGATATAAGTTTTACTGACGAGGATGCTTTAAAAAAACATCATTTTTACCTTGATAGTGGTAATGATCATTTGTCGTCTAACAATAAAACACCATCATTGAAATCATCATATCGGCGTCGTCGTCGACGACATTGTAAATCAAAATCAGATAGTAATAAATATATATGTAAAACATCATCATCACATTCTAACAGTAATGTACTCATTACATCATCACATTATGGTACTCGTTCGAAATCTCGTGAATCCTTTGATAAAATATTACCTAATCATCAACGCGGTCGTCGTCGTTGTACATTAAAAACATGTGCCAAACGCCGTTTTCGTCCGTAAAATATAGATTTGTTTTGATGGACGGATTCTACCTCTTCCCTGTTGTCTCATCATCACAAAAACAAACACACAGACCCCAATATATATATACACATTTATGATGTTAATCTTTCTATGATCTGTATCTCTATGTTCATCATTGTTCATATTTAGTCATTTTATCACCACTACCTTTATCACGACGCATACATTTCTGAAAATATTAGTAGTTCCATGTTACATCGCTCAAATTATTATCAAAACTATTGATTTATTCTACTCATACACATATATGTTTTGAGGAATGTTTCTTTCGGGTCTTTTTTTTCTCCTTCTAGAATATCTTTTATTGAAAATTATTATTCCCATGACATTTCCATAAATATACACGCAAATTAAAATTTGTAATATCAACGTATGTAAACAGTTCATTGATCTTTTTTTTTGTTCCTATAAAATTACCATTCCTGTTCATTTTACCTTCATGCCGGTATGTGTATGAGTTTTTCTCTTAATTATCATTTTGTAAACCATTATTACACTCTACTGGGATCTCTAAAGGCGGCAAACAGATTCACTATATATATAAGTGAATTCATTATATGTGTATTAAATTATCAATAACTTATGTATGTTGTTTTTGCATTTATTCAATTACATAAATGTGCAATATTCACTTTATCAATGCATTTCATTCTGATTAACTATTACTATAATTAACAGGAATATACAATGTGCAATATAAAAAGCAACATGACAAAAGTAACTGTTTAGCATAGAACAGCTGACTTTTTTTTTCAAAAAAAAATTGTTTTATCCCCCACTTCACCCCCCTTTATTCCTTTAAATATTCATGTGCAATCATATTTAATATTCATTTATTGGTTGTTTCTTTTTTTTTTTGCTTAAACATTGTTTTCCTTGTTTTTTTTTCTTGTTTTTTTCGTTTTATGTTTTATTAATGAAATCAACCAACAACAAAAAAAAACAAGAAAAATTCTAATCAAATATCTTGTATACTTCCTAGTCGATCTTTCACTAATATGCATATATATATATACATACTTTGATGGAAGTCATAAAGGGTTTTATTGTGGATGTTATTGTAATTTCATTAGTTAAGATCATGAGTCAATTGAAGGTAGACCACTATGGAAAACTTGCTGTCTAGTGCTTCCAGGTTTTCCATAATGATCTAACTTCAATTGACTTATGATCTCAACTATTGAAATTTTATGAATGTATTCAATCAAGTTCATGATTTCTTCTTGTTTTATTCTATTCTTTATTGGTATTGTTATTGTTGTTTTTAAAAAACCTATACTCTAGTCATATCTCTATCACTTATCCACGTATATAATTTCAATAGAAAATGGTATAACTAGTGAAATATTTTCTTTTCTTTTGCTGACAACGGACACATCTATATTTATATTAAGAAGAAAAATGTTGTTATTCTGATTCTTAGAATAATCAGTTGTAATTTATTCTCCTTAATCAATATTAGAAGTTACTGTAGTTCGAGATGTTTGTTATTAGTGTTAGAGAGATAATAATAGTATTCTTGCATCAGTACTATGTGTGTGTGTGTGTGTATCTATGGTGAATTTCTTCTAATCTTTCCTTATTTCCCTTTATTCACCTGTGTTTCTATGTCTGTCCATTTATGTATACGTACACTCTTAACATGACATGTCTATTATATGTCTATCCCACGTACTCGTCCATTATAACTATTATATCTGCATTTATTTATTTCCTTTTTTTTAAAAAAAAATGTTTATTTACTGTTACGATCTATCGTTGTTTTGTTTGTTTGTTTGTTTGTTTTTTTCAATGTTTCTCATCTCAAAGATATTTTCTTCACATTGTTATCGATCTGTTGTCCAAATATAAAAAAATCACGATATTTTCCGATTTTTTTTTGTTATAGCCTGGTTCTTACTGTTTTGTTTGTTTTTCATGTTTGGTCTGGATGTTGTTGTTGTTGTTATGATCATGAATTTAGAAAGTATGGAATTGTATGTGTGTAATTCAAAGGGACTCGATCGATTTATCTTTTTGATGTTTTTAATGGAGTTTTTTTTTTTCTTCTCTGTATCCATACATTGATATGTGTATTTGTATTTGTTTATTGTACTCAAATATTATTACTGTTATTACTTAAATGATAATATTCAATTATATTCAGGTTTTGTTCATTTTTCTTTTACTTTTCAATTATTATTTACTTATCTAGTTATCTGTATTCATTGAATAATATATGAACTTTATATTTATTTATGTATTTCTAACAGGAAGGTTGACTACTGACTCCGTTGTTGTTGTTGTTTTTTCTAATCAAACAAAAGAAACGCTTATATCGTTTAAAATTGCGCATATTTTCTGTCTAAATTGAATGTATTGTTTGTTAAATTAGATAACTTACCTGAGTCTATTATTCCTCTTGATGAAGATGATGTCTACCAAGGCTTTCCAAGAAACTGTCCTGGTCTATCCTATCTAGTTGTTGCCTAGCCCTATTGTTTATCTTGATTTTTACGTCTAATCCCGATCATCATATGTTCTTTTGTTTATCTCTTTTCAGCTTTCCCTGAGGATTCTGAGTTAGGCTTTGTCTTATGATACAGTTTCATGGTTTCCTTAGAGTGTCCCATCCATCCTAGTGTCTTTTCTTGACTAACTCAACGAGCAGCTCGTTTGTTGTTTGCCGTAGTAGGTTATTACTGATAGTCTTTGGCTAATGGAGCTTGGGTATGTTGCGTAGGCATTTGCTTCTAAATACCCGTACGTTTTTGGTGATATTGATGGTAGTTTTCCAAGTTTAGGCTTCATACTTTTCTAACGTTAGTGTTGAAAATCTTAACTTTGGTATTGGCTGACAGTTGTTTTGAGTTCTAGGTGTTTTTCAAATGTAGGAATCCTGCTCTCACTTCCGTAATTCATGCCTTAAGTTTATCGGATAATCCTCATTTATCAATGGCACCTCCCAAAGGTGCGATATCGAAATCAAGTGTGATTCGGTTAGTGCTGGCTCCACTGTACTTTAGGATTTTAATTTTTCTTTTATGAATGTTGAGGCATACTTTTGATGAAGCCACCTCTACACTCAATTTCTTTATCCGCACCTGTCGTGTATACAGTAGGTCTGTGTCATCTGAAATGTCCACTGCATTCCGTGCTTCTGATATGTAGAAGTCTTCATAATCCAGTCAACCACCAGAAAAAAAGGAAAAGATGAGATCAGTCACCTATGTCTAGCATCAGTCTTCACCTGTGGGATTCCTCACACATGCAACTGCGACCTAGTCCGTCGTAGGAACTCCGTATGATAACGATCTCGCGTACTTCATAATGTCAAATAGGGTTCTCTAGTGGCCATGTATCTGTCTCCAGTTAGGTCGTATGATGATCGTTATCGCGGTACGTATGCCACCAACCCTCGTACATTTATATCGCGTTAGAGAATAACGGAATAAAATAAGACAAATATGAAAATGAATTTTAGATTTGTATATTTCATAGACCCATTGATCCGGACAGACAATAAAAAAAACGAAACGAAGTGGAAAATATCGTTGAGTAAATGTAAGAACAAACCAACGCGCAATGGAGAGAGAGAGATCCAACTTCATCTAACCAGGCGTAATTCAAATATCTATAGTCAGAACAAAAATATTTTACAAACACGTAATGAATAGGGTAAGCGATCATCATACATACGATCATATAAAAAGTTGGGGTTAATAAGCGAATAATCAAAGAGGTCAAAATGTGGCTTAAGAACAAATAAATTGGTCTGTCCAGACGCTAGAACAATCTGTGTGGGCTTGATAGTACCAACCACTACAGTTCCACAAGGTGGTCCACACTGCCGCATGCCTTCCCATAATCAAGTGAGCTGACATATCATTCCATGGGTTGTTCAACCATGATTCACAGTGTCGTTATGTAGTTGGTACACTATCTATCCTTACGATAGCCATTTTTCTGGTCTAGAAACTGGGTGCCTACTGAATCTTTCATTCAGTCTAGCAACACTGTTAAAACAATTTGGCACTAACAGTAGTGTGATCCTTCTGTACTACTCTCAACCAAGATTTTCTTGTGATATCTTGATTAGGCATCCCTCTTTATAGTCTGTTAAAACCTGATCTTTATCCCAAATCTTCATGAAGAGGACGGTGAGTCTTTGAAGTTACCTCTATTCGCCTTTAGTGCTTCAGCTGGGATGCTATGTTATCATAGTAACTTGTCATTCCTGATTTGTTTAATGGACTTTCAATTAACAGTGTAAGAGGAAACTACAACGGGATCGCCACTGACTTTTCTTCTAAGCCGCCTCTGATAACTTTTCAAGGCACTGAGTTCCATTATGTCCAAGACCATGGTCACGGAGTCACGATAGACTGACAAATGCCAGTCCCATACAGTTTCCTTTCATACCAAAGCGCCGTGTCATAAATTGCTCTCAAATGTCATGGTATTTCAGAGGGTAAGGCGAGTGTTGTCTTATCCCATGTTAAATGTCACGTGACTGAATTGCCAATTTTGACACCGACTTGCGTGACCTTGGCACTGTGCCAAATTAATGGTGCGTTAACCAGCACGAGTATCCTAGAGTCCTTATTGATTCTTCTTGCCCTTTAAGATAAGAACACAATCAGAGCTCCCACTACATGCATAATGTATTTCAGAAATACGTAGTTGATATACAGGCAAGTCAGAACGCATCATACCATAAAATAGAAAACAATAATTATACAAATCGTGACAACAGCCATCGAGATATCATGCAAACGACATAGAGAACAAAGAAGAAACACCTTAAAGAAAAAACTAATCAAGATCTCAAAACCACCCATGGAAGAAAACACAAACAACTGCGTGATCAATCTGTCAAAACAACCACTAACAAATACGGAAGAACACCTCCAAAAGGGATTAAACTACAATACAAGCGACGCCTCAAAGCTGGAGTTCTTCACAGCACTAGAGTCATCACTCAAAACCTCCGGAATCAGTGAAGAAACACAACAGGAAATAAGGCAAACTATAGTACCGATAACTCAACGGGTGAAAGAAAACAACCAACTGACTCCACAAGAACAAAAGGCCTTGAAAGAACTCAGAAATAGAAAGGATATTGTCATAATACCAGCGGACAAAGGACGCACCACAGTAATCATGGACAAAGAAGAATACGTCAACAAAGCCGAAGAACTACTCGAAGATAAGAACACATACAAACTGATGGACACAAATCCCGTCAAAAAATTTGACAACTAAATCTCAAAGACTTTAAACAAGCTAGTCAAAGCAGGAGAAATAACAAAACAATACCAATGGAGAATGGAATCCAGTGGACCAGTACTCCCTCGATTCTACGGCAGACCCAAAATACACAAACCGAACATTCCACTACGTCCAATAATAGCACTCCCCGGAACGCCAACGTACAATTCGTCAAAAGAGATTTCACGAATACTGAGACATCTAGTAGATTCAGCCAAACACTCCATCAAATCCCCAACACAATTTCTGGACCAAATTAGGGATATTCAAATCAACGACGACGAACTCATGATATCCTTCGACGTAACAGCACTGTTCACCTCCATTGAACCACAGTTAGCAAAAGAAACTATATCCCTGCTACTCAACAACGACACAAATCTCACCAAATACACGACGCTTCAAATTCAAAGTCTACTGGAACTCATCGACTTATGCCTAACAACATATTTTCAATTCAACAACAAAATCTACGAACAAACAAAAGGGACACCAATATCAGGACTGATCGCAGAGGCAGTGATGCAAAGACTAGAAGCCACGATGTTACCAGTGATCAAGCCAAAAATTTGGATTCGATACGTAGACGACACCTTCGTCATCGTCAAAAAGGATGAACTGGAAAACACATACAAACTGATCAACAACGTTTTCAATGACATCAAGTTCACAATGGAACAGGAGTCAAACAACCAACTAGCATTCTTGGATATATTGATCACTAGAACTGATACAGGGAAACTGGAAACTCAAGTATATAGGAAACCGACCCATACAGATCAAATTTTCAACTACAACAGCAACAACCCAAGACCTCACAAAATTGACTGCGTACACACATTGTTCAAGAGGGCGAGGACACTGCAGCACACTGGCAGCACGAAAAAAATGAAGAGAAATACCTGAAGGACATATTTCAAAAGAACGGTTACCCAATCAACTTCATCAAAAAGCACCAACGGCACACAGCATCAGAACCCAAGTCAAGCACAAAAATCAACAACAGGATCACCCTACCGTACATACAAGGAATATCAGGAACCGCAACAAGACTGCTGAAAACCTTCGGGATAGGTGTGGCACACAAACCAACAAAATCACTACAATCAATCTTATGCAAACCAACAGGTGAAATAACAAAGGAAAACAAATCAAACATCATCTACAAAATAAATTGTACCAACTGCGACAAACACTACATCGGACAAAGCGGACGCCCCCCCTCCACCTACGCCTACATGAACATCAATTAGCAGTCAAACGCCATGATATCTCTTCACTTATATCAATACACGTGGATAACTACGGACACTCATTCGATTGGGAAAATGTAGAAATCTTAGACAGAGGAAACTCCAAAAACACCAGAGAATTTCTAGAAGCCTGGCACTCATGTCAATCAGCAATCAACAAACATATTGAAATTAATCCAATTTATCAACCAATCAGGAAAATCATGCATAAATATAGGAACAAAAATCAAACCAATGGGAGACACAACCAAAACAAAGAAGTAAACAATGATAAATTTAAGGTCAACAAGAACCAATCAACATCGAGGTGCACAGAACAAGCTGTGAAACACATATGGAGAAAATCGAACACTTCACTTCTATCTGAAGTTTGTGCTGATGATGTCGTCCAGAAAAACGATGAAAGCTCCACGACCAAACCATCCAGCTCAGAGAACAAAACTCCACCAAAATCATCCATCTGAGCTACAAATCTTCACCATCTCACAAGTTTAAGCCAAAAGTGGCTAAGAGTGTGAGAGACTGTAACTAATAAATCGGGAGTAAGTTAGGAATGGTTAGTCGTATAATATTAGTCAATCGATCAAATGGAAGCTTATAATACAGGGAATATAAATATACATATAATATAGTTACTTAACAGTTATCCAGAAAGAATATATGTAACAACAGTCCATAATTAATTCTTAGTAGTTGCCATCCATTTATTCTTCGTTAGGATAAAACAGAGTCCGTTTCTCCTCTCAAAATATTCCCATATAATCCAGTATTTGAAGCCTCTGACAGGGTATTCCTAATTAACTTCAGGTGACAGAAATGTGGTTTGCATAAATGGGCAGATGTGAAGCGAATGCGCGGTGCTTAAACCGAGTTGATGGATACTGAGGATACATCAAGTGGAGTTGGAAAACCAATTTCAAACTGATGGTGCGTATCGACTGCAGGATCCTTAGGGAACAAAAGGCATTCTAATCTAATTTAGTTATTGGGCATCCGCTTTAGTTTTACCAGTTGGATAGTATTAAAATCCTTCAGACATAAAAGTACAACTCATAACTTATGACATACTTGGAAGATAAATTACATTATCATTTTATTTTAAACAAAATGTTTATAAATTAAACCTTTATATAGCCGTCAGTTGCATACCATGGATATCAGTGTTTTATGGCTTAAATATTATCTCATTAAACTTGAAAATTAAAGAATCTAGAACAGTATTTTAGTGTGTTTTTTTAGCTATGGTTATTATTCTAATAATTGAGATCATGAATCAATTGAAGTTAGACCACCATAGAAGCACTGGAAGACCGCTTCGTTCTACTGTGGCACTTCTCAGTAGTGTTCATCCACGATCCCGCCTCGCGAGATTGGAGTTCAGGACTTATCGGTCTCGCACGCAAGCGATTAACCACTAGACCACTGAGCCGTCCGGCATCCAACGGTGTTAATATCTAGCTTCAATCAATCCACGAAATTGAACGACACATCCACCATTGTCATCAGTGAGTTACTATCTCTCAGAAGACCCGGTTGAAATCCACTGGTCACTGCTTATCACTAGAATTCCAGGGAATACCTCTTCAACCCGTCACTAGTGAGCATATGTTGATTAATATCAGGTTATTTTTATTCCAGATATGAAAATATATGGACTCAGATATAGCAGAGACCAGGTGAATTGTATCAATGTGTGTTATATCACCTACACTTTTTTACTCAGTTCATTTGTATGTGTGAAAACTATGTTCTCATATGCATTTTTACGAATACCCTATAAAATCATCATCCAAGTTCATTGATGTTTATTGTTACACTATAAGCTTTTAGGCTTCTCTTTATTGAAAATATATAAAATCACTTGGTATTATTTACCTGAATCTTCCTATTGATATTCAAGACTGTAATTGATCAGTCTGTTATTGGCATATGTGCATACTGTGCGTATCGCCTCGATATTGCCTTAATTCACAAGTATTCTGAGTAAAGATGAGTAGTGGCTAGCAGTGAGATCCAGTTTGACGCGCTCTTCGCCCTATTTGGAACTGAATGCACCTGCATCTCAGAGTTGATGTTCACTCCGGGACTCGAACTCAGCACCGTTCGCTCCAAACGCCATCGTGTTATCTACTTAACCACTGAGTTCTGATAGCTCGATAGTTAAAATTACATTCAAATAATATACATTTTAAACCAACGCCTATCAATTTTTTTGAAACTATTTATTCTTTCATTAATTAATGATGTAACTCGAACGCTGTTGCTACCTTGACATGATAGTCGGGCTTGCCTACCATGATAAACCAATCGACCTATACCGACTGGAACTATCGTTCCTCAAGGTTCTTTCATACCGGACATGTTGGTTGAAAAGCGGTGAGACTAAAAGCAGCTAACCCAAGGTCTGAGGGTGAAGTCGTACTGCTGATTGTACTGAGGTGTGACGGCAGTAAGGTGTTTCCTTCAGACAACCAGCATAACAGCTATGCTGTCTTCCCACATAGAGGGATTGGGTTAGAAAAGGTCTATCCTAAAACTGCACACCTCGCCTCATCTCACGGATTTCCGTCTCTAGTGGTACAGATCTAACACGAAAATTACCCACAAAAAGGTCGTGTGTGCCCGACCTCAAACAGTTGTTCCTTGGACAGTGCTGTCACGCTCTCAGGTCACTAAGATCACCTCTAATCCAATTTCCTTTTCAGGTACACCTCCATAAGAACCCTTCCATGGTGTGAGCAACCAGGAAGTGATAACTGCTCTCACACCTCTATCAGTACTCAAGACTAATGGTAGACTAATTACAATTGTTAGTTGTACCAGTTTAATCGTATGATATCCAGTGTATAATATATTATCAACTGTTTTCTTTGCCTCCTTACTCTATTGTTATGTAACTAACAATTTCTTATTGAAAGTAACACCTTCAATTATATATCAATGACATAGATTATAATAACATATACTTTAAAAGCTTTTATTTCCCATAAAGATATTCAATATCTTTCAATGATTAATCAAGAAACTGTTCAACAACAAAAAATATATTGAATTTTGATAATAAAAAATAATTTAAAAGAATTTAAGGTATATACATTTGAGTTTTAATTCCTCCGGAAGCCCTTCTGAAGTTATTGCTAGTCTCAAGCTTGGATAAAGAAAGAGGGTTAGGCATGACGGGTAGGTGGGGTGGGGTGGGGTAGGGTGGTGTTAGTGACCCCATACTGTAGATAACAAACAATAAATTTAGTTACTATTTGATTTTTTCATTTCTTTATTAGATTTTAAATGTAAAATTTCTGTTTTTAATAATTCAATTTCTTCAATTAATTTTAAATTTATTTTTTCTAAATTATCAGCATATTTTTTTAAACTTATTTCTTTAGTTTTTCTTGCTCTACGTGAACGTCTAGCAGCTTCATTATTTTTAACTCGTTTCTCCCAATATGCTTTATCTTTTACTTCAGATGGTGTCATTTCTGGGAAACGTCTCATACGTGGATTACAATCGGTGTGTTTAATATTTGTTGAATCGTTATTATGATGATGATGATTGGCATCGATTAATTCAGAATAACTGGAATAACAACTAGGTGTTGATGAAATAGATCCGATTGATTGTGCCGTTGTTGTTGTTGTTGTTGTTGTGAGTAAATCAACAGGTTTGTCGAGTTTACAAAGAGTTTCTAAAGATTTTGTTGTAGATAATGTCTCGTCAATTGTTATATTTTTATTATTATCATTAGTATTTTCTGATTGATTGAATGGTATTAACACAATTGCTGAAGCACTTTGAGATCTTCGTGATTTTATTTTAACCGTTGATTTTCGTTTAGAATTATTCCCATTTGTTGTAGGAGTAGAAATTACTGATTTTGGTGAAAGAGGTGGTGTATTATTATGTTCCATAGATTTGGAATGATCATTATCGGTTTCCGATTTATCAATAGTATTCACTAATAATAAGGGATCAATAAGTTTAGAAGATTTCAATAAAAGTTCTGTAGAAATTGATGGAACTGTATTACCAAATGCTTTAAATGGTCTACGACTAGATGTTGATCTTGGACGTTTCTGATCAGATTCATTTATTTGTATTGAATCTTGAATATCTGTAATCCAATTATTCTGACATAATTCTGCACCATTTATATTATTATTATTATTATTATTATTATTATTATTATTATTATTATTATTATTATTTGTAGATGAGGATGTGATACTTTCTGATTGTTGAATTATTTCAACTTGACGATTGGTCTGAGTATCTTGATTTGTTGGATTGAGTTTTTCTGAAGTGTTTATTACCTTCATAGTTGTGGATGATGTTGCTTTTGTTTGTGTACGTGTCCTATTTGATTTCCGTCTACAAGGAATTTTAGAATTTTCATTATCTAACTTTTTCTTAGTTAATTCATCTGATTTTATTGTTGTAAATGATTTCAAAGTTAAATCTAACGGTTTCTCATCATCTTGATCATGATTGATTAAATTATCAGTATTTATATTTATCTGTGGATAAGTAGGGGATAATAATGATACATTGTCTGATCGACGTCCAAATGGAAAACATGATGAAGCTCTTACTTTTGTTGCTATTTGTGGGAAACATGACATTAATAATGATGATGATGGTGTTACTATTTGTGAAGATGATATTGAATGTGATAAATCTGAGGTTAAATTTAAAATAGATGGGCTTGTTGACATTGACAAAGCAGTGATAATTGGTGAAACCCAATTTAGATTTAAATTATAAGGTATTGTCATTATTGAAGTGGTAACTGGTGAATAAGATTCATTGTCTAATACATTGACATCATCAGGTATCTGTAAGAATATATACACATCCCAAATTAAATTTAATAATCATCTTATTAATAGTAGAAAACAATCAAAGTTAATCGTTTATGAATAAATAATCATCTGGAATAACTCGTTAACAAATAACTTCATAAAATTGCACTGATCATATTACATTGTCGGAATGCCATATAACTATGTTCAGCGCGTACAGTATCATCAAACATACAAAACCACCTGAAATAATCTATATATTCATTGACCAACCAGGACGGTAGCCACCTTTATGCCCCCGAATGCCTTGGTACGGCAGAGAGTGGATAGAGTCTGCTCTCCCTCTCCAAATGCTCTCACATGTCCATGTGAATACAACCGATGCCACAAAACTCACATTCACTGTCTTCTCGTGACATTACGAAATTGACAACACGAAAAGCGAATGTTCGTCGCTTTAACCGGGTTGGTGGATATGGAGAGTCTACCTAGGAGAGTTGGAAAACCCTAATTCCAAACCAATGGTGCAAATGGGCTGGCTCCAGGATCCTGGAGGAGCAAATGGTGTATAAACCCATTCTTGGTTACCTGCATGTACAAATGCTTATGTGTTCAAATAAATAAAATAAAATTCGTGATTGAAGTATTCGACTTTTCATTACATAATAACGAATTAAAACCCTCAATTACTTCTTTGGTTTATTCATTCAAGTAGTATCACCATTAAAACCTTACACGACTGAGTGCATTAAGTTATATATGTGTATGTATTAGGGAAGTATATTGATCAGAGTGATTGTGGTGAAAGAAAATGAATCACTTTATGTCATTTACTATGAATGAAACCTCGATTATTCTTGAAGCACTTTACACTTATGAAAATATCTAGTGAAGCGTTTTAGATAGAAATACTGTGTTATTTGGTGACGCTGTAAATCCTCATCAAGTAAGGTGACTACGAGATGTATTACTTATACCCGCGAGGTCCCATGTATATGTCCACAGTCTGGAAGTAATTGGTTTTATGACTCTGAAATATTGTCCAAATATAGTGAGACAACAAAATGATTATTCCTTAGGTTTAGACACAAGACACTGTATACAGATGGCATATCGATTTACGAATCTGTGAGTTATCCTGACTGAATAGAATAAGGTTAGGGGAAAACTATAGGTGGCTAAACTAGAATGTGGCTTAAGTTCATAAAGTTACTGAGTATTGATCTGGTAGATACAGATGACCTGGTTGGTATCTGAGCAAGAATCACGTTTATTAGTTAGAGACATTTGATGATATTATTCAGAATTGGTCACTATGAGACAGATGCATTCATTCTTTATCTTCCAGATCTCGGATTAAAATGCGTCAACATTTCAGGATTAATCAGAACCATTCCATTATCAGGAAAAGACGATGGAAATGGATAGGACATACATTACGGAAATCACCAAATTACATCACATAACTTGGAATCCTGAAGGGAAGCGGAAAAGAGGAAGGCCAAAAAACACATTACGTTGGGAGATAGAAGCAGATATGATAAATAAATAGGATAAATAACAACTGGAAAGAACTGGAAAAGATCACCTAGGACAGGGTTGGATGGCGAGTGCTAGTGGGCGGCCTATGTTCCTCCACGAGGAGTAACAGGCGTAAGTATGTGAAATTTCATATATTCCTATTATGAATGGTTAACTTATAGTAAATAATTGTTATCGTTTGAAGAACTCTGGAAAACTACTAGTTAATAATCATAATCTTTCTAATAATTATATTATCCAGTCGGTTACGGTTAACATGTGTAATCTGGCACAAATGTTCGTCAGTCCAAGTTTCCATATAATATCAACATAATGAGATAAAATTAACAAGATAAATGACAAGGAATTCTAAATAATTATAGCATTAATGAATATGTGAAAGACTTAATAGTGAGATAATGATTCAGACAATACAGAAAAAAGTATATCTGAATTGATATTGGATCTGAAGATTAAAAGTAATATAAGCAATGAGTAAATCGACGCCATTCTAATCGATCTTGAATCATATTACCAAATGTTTCCAACAACTGATCATGCTTATAAATCAGACCTTAGCCACGTAGTCTAGACTCACAAACATAGCTCAAATCGATAGTCAATGACTTCATGATGATTTGGGCATACCTAATTTTTTTTCCAACAAACTTCTATTTATTTATTTATTTATTTATTTATTTATTTATTTATTTATTTATTTATTTATTTATTTGAACACATATATATTGGTACAGGAGTCCGCCAAACATATATGCGCCACACAATTTCAGTTCATTAATTGCGTGTGGGCTGCGTTACTGCCCGGGTGCCCAGACCGAAGCAGGTGGTTATCTTAGAGGACCACACCCCGAGCCTTTGACCTAAAGGTCTAACCCACAAGGCAGTGGAACATCGTAAGGAGATGCAGTCCCATGGTAGCCGGTGACCAACGATTGGTTCATACGCCATTTGTTCCCGCAGGATACTGGTGCCCATGTGCACCATTGGTTTGGAATCCGGTTAAAGCGCCGGACATTCGCTTTTCGTCCTCTCATTTTCGTAAACAACACCCCCGCCACGAGAAGGCAGTGAGTAGGACTTCCCTGGCAGAGGCTGTATACGCGCGGCCGTGTGAGAGTATTTCGAGAGGAAGGGCGAGCCCACCCCGCTCTCGGCCATACCAGGGCGTTTGGGGGCCTAATTTTTTTTTCCAACAAACTTCTACTTTAATCAATATTACACTTTGAATTAGACAGTGGTTTGATATATGTTACACATATCCTAGCCACATCGCTCAATGAACATTCAGTTCTATAAACCATTTTTTCCATTTTTGTTTAGTTCTCTAACCACCAGCATAACTCACTTGATAATACGTGAAGTTATGTACCATGTACTATGGCAACTGATTATCATTTATGAATAAAATCACACTGTATTTATGAAATCTCAGTAGGTGATGTGGTTAATGGAAATTCAAAGAAAATTGTATCAGATAAGGGTTTTTGTGGATATTATGGTAATTTAATAGTCGAGTTCATGAGTCAATTGAAGCTAGACCACCATGGAAAACCTGGAAGCACTGGATGGCCGCTTCATCCTCGTATGGTACGACTGAGCAGTGCACATCCACGATCCCGGGTCGCGAGATTCGAACCCAAGATCTACCAGTCTCACGCGCTGATGTTTAACCGCTAGACCATTAAACCGGCATCGTTTACTCAGAATCAGTTATTTGTTAATACGTTGTTGCTATTATTAGTATTATCCAATGCGTGAATAAAACTCATCGATTAGGACCGATGAAATTGTTACAAATTGCCAAAATTTATGTTTAGATTAAAAATGATTCAAAAATACTCAATACTGATCAATCATGAACTTGCATTGTAGGTAAGTAACTGATTAAGCTGATGATAGATGGCCTAACATATATATATATATATATATACTAGTAACTTGGGTCAGAGGAATAATGTATCCAATGTTACAACATATTAACTGACATGTCAGTTATGCATAGTGGACATACAAACACAATCACAATGATAAGGAAGAAAATAACAGTTATTTGTTCCTAACTAATCAATACTCGATACGTATACGTGTGCATGACAACGACTCATTGAATCTGAATACCAATATATACTGGTAACGATCCAAATGAAAATAGTTGCTATATTATTCATTTTGCTCACTATTCAATTTGACAATCAAAAATTATATTTTATTAGTTGAATTCATGAGTTCATTGAAGCTAGACCACTATGGAAAACCTCGCGAACTAACGCTTAACTGATAGGTCCTGGATTCGAATTGTGCGAGGCGGGATCGTGGATGCACACTGCCAAGGAGATCTATACTAGGACGAAATGGCCATCCAGGTTTTTCATGGTCGTCTAGCTTCAAATGATCCATGAATTCAACTACTAAATTGCTATAATATCCACAAAACCGATCTACGATTACAAAAACTTTTACGTTCATATGTTACATTTGGAATGTGACTACTTATGAGTAGGATCAATATATTACACAAAATACCCAAAATAGTAGAAAATTATGGTAAATTATAAGAATTAAAACTAGACCACCATAGAAAACCTAGAAGCAGTGGACTGCTGTTTCATTCTGAATGGGACTCCTCAACAGTGAGCATCCACGATCTCGCCTCGTGAGATTCGAATCCAGAACTTATCAGTCTTGTGAATTCAACTATTAAATTATTATAATATCCACAAAACCTCTCTCTCTAAATTATAAGAAGTGAAAAAAAGTATCCAACTAATATAGAGAGGATTTGTTTACAACATTCTATGAAAAATTTGATCTATGTTAATGATCTGTCAATTTTTGATTGAGATCATAAACCGACTGATGTTAGACCATCACAACTGAAAACCTGGAAGCACTGGACGGCCGCTCCGTCCCACCGTGGGACTCCTCAGCAATGCGCCTCCACGACCCTGCCCTCGGGATTCGAACCCAGGGCCTTCGGCCTCGCGCGCGAACGCTTAACCAACTGGACCATTGAGCCGGCATCCAATGGTGATAGTTTCTAACATCAACCAACCCACGAAATTGCGCGACCAACTTCCGTTGTACTGAGGTAGATACCTGTCCCTACCCGACAAGGATTAGCTCCACTGGTCACGGCTTCTCACTAGAACTCCGAGAATTCCCTCACGAAGCTAGTCACTAGTGAGCACATGTTGATTACTAGTATAGGGGTTGTGGAGATTATTAAGTTTTCAATTGTGATGGTCTAACATCAATCGGTTCATGATCTCAATTAAAAACTTAATAATCTCCACAACCCCTATACTAGTGATCTATCAATTACTTGTTTGTATATTTTATCGTTTCGATTCCATCCCTATCATACAACATGGCTATAGAAATATAATCAACCAAAAAGGGAAGGTTACTCTCTTAAATAGCCAGTTCAGTAATTATGTTTCAAGAAAATGAAAGGATGTTTCATTGAATGAACCCATTTTTTTCAGAGATGAGAGATATTATTTAACAGAATAAAAAGAATAATCAGGTCAACATTTTTTGTATCAATATGTTATGAGTATTAATCTGGGTAATCAGTATGAACTGGTTCAATGTAACTCTTTAAAGTCATTACTTATTTTGTATCAATTCAAGAATGACAAGTGTGAACTTTCATTCAATATGACAAATGTATTTTAATAGTTGAGATCATGAGTCAATTGAAACTAGACAACCATGAGAAACCTGGAAGCACTGGATTGCTGTTTCATCTTAGTATAGGACTCCTCTGAAGTGTGCATCCACGATCCCCCCTCGCGAGATCAGAACCCAGGACCTA